CTCCGCTGTGTATCGCACGGTGTGGTTGTCATGGAGAGTTTTCCATGTGATGGACACACTGGTGATGAGAAAAGAAGAAAGAGACACGCCAACCTGTGAATTTAGTGGCCTTGACAGACCCTCGCCCCGAATCACAGCGTCACCACTCTCCACCTTCTACCGCTCCAGCCCCGAGGCCAGCCCCATCATTCCTGAGACACAGGTGAGTCGTACCGCATCACATCTGGGAGTAAAATGAGTCTCGGTTCATTTTTCCTTAAAATCAAAATAAATTTGACTATGTGCCTCAAGCTCATCTGAGCTGTATGATTTAATGAGACTACAATATATAAGAGAACCAGGTGATTTTTACTTACAGAACATACTGTACAGTGAGGAAAACCAGATATTTTTAAAAGACCACCACGCAGATATTGCTTCTGAATTAATGATGACAGTGGCGTACTATATCATGTTCCTGTGTCACATTTTACACTTGTAACATAAATCACTTTTAGGCTACAAGTGGAAGTCAGCAGGGATCAGACATAATTAAAGTAGATATTTTTTGTGGTACATTATTTATTACTTCATATGACTGTCATTCTGAAGATGTTCGTATGATGCTGCTTGAAAATTGCATTGGTTGTTTTTTTTAACACTTTAAAAAGCCGCAGCCTGAATGTGTATAAAGTATCTTCATTTTATTTATTTTTTTATTTTTTCAAACTCTTGACATCAGGGTTGCCATACACTACCATTCAAAGGTTTAGGGTCAGCAAGATTTTTTAATATTTCTAAAATAAGTCTCTTATGCTCACCAAGGCTGCCTCTATTTGATCTAAAATACAGTTATACTAAAAACTCAACCTTGATGAATAAAAGTATAAATATATTCCAAAAAAATCTTACTGACACCAAACCTTTGAATGGTAGTATACATCCACTCCAGAGTAATAGAAGAATGAATTCATAGTGTTTAATGAATTACGAAGCAGTGCGTTTTGTTTTAAATACCTAAGAATTTTAATAAAAATGATAATAAGCCACAAGGAAATTTACACTACAGGCAATTAACTTCCACTCTTGTGCACATTTTTAATCACAGGTTCTTCATGAGCACACAGCCATTCCTGGGAGTGATTTAGACTTGATTTACTTGAGCTCACGTGCTTCAGCCTACAAACCTGTTCTGAAGGTCATCTTGACCCAGTCCAGTGTGCCCTTCGGCTTGGCTCGGGTCCACCTCATGGTGGCTGTGGAG